GGGGCTGGCTGGCATGTGGTGCTGGGGGATTGAACCATGGTCCTTGTGCTCTGCCAAGCTTGTTCCAAGTAGGTGCTTTAGACCACTGAGCCATCTCGCCAGCCCCCTCAAGGTCAACATTTTAAAAGGTCAAGCTGAGTGTGGTGGTTCCAATGCTGAGTGGACTCCCAGCACTTCAGAGGCTGAGACAGGAGGACTACTGCAAGTCTGAGGCCAGCTTGGGTTACATAGCCAGACTGTTTCAAAAATATCACCCCCTAAAAAAAAATCCAAAGTTTTTTTAATCAATTGGATTTATACGTATCAGTAACAAATCCAAAATGAAAAGATACCACTTACCAAAAATTTACATTAAGAATATCAAATGCATAGGAATCTAAGGAAACATGAGCAAGGTCTTCACATTGAAAGATACAAAACATTACTAAAGATGTGAAAGAATGTTCACAGATTGGAAGTTTTAATACTGTGAAGATGTCAATTACTCCCAAATTAACCTACAGATTTATTTCAGTCTCCGCATATTTCTTCTGGCAGAAATTGACACACTGATTCTAAAATGTACAGAGAAAACACAGAGATCCAGGAATAGCCAACGCAATCTTAGAGAACAAAGTTGGAGGATTGTACTAAATATATATCAAGATGTATTATAAAGCTCCCATAATTAATCAAGCATAGAACTGCCACAAGGATTGACAAATAGACCAATGGAACAGAAGTGAAAATCTAGAACGAGACCCGCTCATCTGAGGTCACTTGATTTATGGCAAAGGTGACACTGCAGCACGATGCGGAATACATGATCTTTTCAACAAATGTAGCTAAAGCAATTAGCTATCCATGTGGGGAAAGGTGAAGCCTTAGTGATGAGCTCAGGTCATGTGCCCAAATTAAGAGGAGATTACAGGGGAGTTGGAGACATAGCTCAGTGACCTAAAGTGCCTGCGTAGGCAAGCTTAGGCAGGCACAGGGGACCATGGCTGTATCCCCAGCACCACGCGCTGCCCTGGCCCTGCCCTCAGGGTGGGCTGAGCTGGCCAAAAAAAAAAAAAAAAAAAAGGATGATATTATAGACCTACATGTGACGGGGATGGTGAGATGGCTCAGTGGTCTAAAGCACCTACTTAGAACAAGCTTAGCAAAGCACAGGGACCGCGGTTCAACCCCCCAGCACCACATGCCAGCCAGCCCCACCCCCTGGTGGGCTGAGCTGGCCACACACACACACACACACACACACACATAAAAAAAAATTATAGACCTACATGTGAAAGGGAAAATAATAAAGCTGGTGGCAGGAGAGAAGCCCCAGTATGGTTACCACTAACTGCGAGGGGTCCAAGTTTGGTGGGGTCTTCTGCCACACCTGCGCTGCAGGTCCAAAGCTATCCACATCCAGAGGTCCCAGAAACAAATGAAATATCCAGGTTTTCTTTGTCTAAAGCAGAATTCTTGGTGGTGCAACTTAGGGTAGGAGACTATTACTAAAGATCTTACCTTATACTAAGATGTCAGTGCAGGAGGAAGACAATAAACATTCGAAGGGAATACATCAAAATAAATGCTACATGTTTGGCCAATGACTTCCTGCTATACCATCTCTCTACTTTTCTAGATTTTTTTTCCCCACAATTCTTTTATTTTTTAAAAAGAATAAAAAAAAGTTAAAAAAAAAAAAAAACCAACCCATTAGAAATGATACAGAATTTCACTAAACAAAACGATAGGAATTCAACAATGGTTATTATATTACATATTGTTGTCTTCAAATTAGTTGTTAAATTATCAGATATAAGCAAGCAAAATTGGTTAAAAAAAAAGTTTAAGCATTAACTGTTTCTTTTGATAAACCAGTAAAGATCACAAATCAGCAGTACAATTATCCAAACTATCTTGTGTACATACATATACATCTTTTCCTTTTCTTCCTTCCTTCCTTCCTTCCTTCCTTCCTTTCTTCCTTTCCCTCATTCCATTTGTTCCTTCCCCTTGAACACTTTCTTTCCCTTTCACAGTGTCTAGTATACGTTCAGATTTTAACTACTCTTTCAGGTTCTTATGCAAGGGAGACAATTGATGTTTACACATGCAGGTCTCATCTAGGTTTTCCTTAAAGTTGATGGATTGCTTTTCTAAAGGTAGTGAGATACTTTTAAATAAAGAGAAGAGCGATCCCTGAAGACTAAGAGACCCCCCCCCACCAAGTGTCCAGTGGTGCCCAGCCACTGCCAGTGGAGGACTTGGGTACAAATGTGCCTCATTCAGGGCACATTCAGATGTTCTGTCAAAAACTCTCACCTTGCCATTCTCAAGGCTTCCCAGTTTCCAAGGCCCTGGTTACTTAATTTGCTATGGGGCAGTGACATTCCATCCAATCAGCCCACGCTGGCTGTTAAGCTGTCAGCCCCAAGATCTCCACTTCGGCATCCACACCCCATCCACAGGGCCGAAGAGTGGTCTGCCAGGACACCACGAGGAGCGAGGGTGCAGGAGGAAGTGCCTGCGTTTCCTTCTGTCTGTCTGAAATCAATGGTGTGGGCCCCAGTAGTGATGGCAGAGCAGGAGAAAGGACAGGCTCCTGCCTAACACTTTGCCTCCACCCAGGAGAGGGAGGCTGAGGTTGGGCCTTGGTCTAGAAACACGCTGTTGTGTTTGAGAAACACTTTGAACTTCGCTTTGCTGTGTGACTGCAGACTTGACCTTCCGGTGGCGTTTGGTGCATGGCGGGGGCTGGGAGGGTGATGCCTAGTTTTTGGAGGCAAGAGTTCACCCCCACCAGTTTGGCACAGATCCTGCTGTGGCTGCTTCCTGGAACCTGGCAGAGGGGAACTGGGCAGTTCCTGGCAGAGGCTTTCCAGAGGAAATGCTGTCACACCTGGCAAGCTCAAGCTAGTGGGAGAGTTCAGTGAGCCACAGGCCTGGGGTCACTGAAGGATGAGATTGTGGTGCTGGAGGAGACTGAGAGACAGAAGGGATAGCAGCTTTTCTTGAACACCTGTTAAGGGCTAGCCATTTCCGAGGATCAGCAGTCCTGAGAAGCAGG